CACCGCTTTGCTGATCTTTTGTTCTATAATTCTTAATGCAAACACCGACCCTAGTAGTAATTAGTAACGTCGCCTAGTACATATGAACGGTCGTCATTGCAAATCGAACATCCTTTTGAAATTTGGACGTCGGGCAGGCGATTTCAAGGCACCGCACTTAAATATTAGCAACATATTTTTCTGAGCGGTTGTTTATTCTCTTTCAAACGAGACATAAATGTGACGACATAGTCGATCCCTTATCCACCGCTAAGAATGCCGCAATGTTTCGTTCGTTTTGCAACATGCCACAAATCGTCGAAAAAAACACCACTTCGACGGAAGCTTGCGTAATAAGGGGGTTAAAACAAGAAAACAAATGCCATGTTTAATACATATCGACCTGTTTTACTTGCGAAAGATAACGAAACATGAACTCGTTTCGTGCAACTTCGGAACCCGAAGGAACACACCAACAACGTTGAATTTACCCGCTATCTTCCAAATATGGTATATTAATTTATTCAGTTGTTTATTTAGAGTGACGTCCGCGGTCGAATGCGATTGGCTATCGATGTCAGTGCAAAGGTCATATGAATATTAAAATTAAGTGGGCGGAAGGAAAATTGTATAGGAGACAAGCTGGAGTCTCATGTGGCGATAGCGATAACACCGGGACAAATGGTCTGGGGTAGAAAAACAAAATTATTTGCATCAAGGTCCCATAATGTTTAATGTATATACCAAGTTTGAACAAAATCCATCTGTAAACAGCCGAGAAATGCTTGATTTTTAAGATTGTTTAGCACAAAAATGACCGCCATTCGGCCATCTTGAATCAGATCGTAAAACAAAATGATATGCATCAAGGTCGTATAATGTTTAATGTATATACCGAGTTTGAATAAAATCCATCTGTAAACAGCCGAGAAATGCTTGATTTTGGTGATTTTTAGCACAAAAATGGCCGCCATTCGGCCATCTTGAATCAGATCGTGAAACAAATTGACGTGCATATGTATAATATCATGTATGATGTATATGTGAAGTTTGATTGTGATTGGTCCAGGCATTTCTAAGATACAGGTCCGGATGCATGCACAGACACACGCACGCACAGACGCATGCACGGACACACAGAGATCAAAACATAAGTCCCCGTGTTCGGACTACGTCCGAACGGGGACTAAAAAGTTAAAGGGCGTCTTCTATTGAAAACATTTACAAAAAGAAAATGCTAAGAAAAGGGAAAAAAATAACATAAAAATAAAAGAAAAACAAAACAAGTTTTCTATGATTTGATCACTTGATCTTCCACTTGCAAAGGAAAGGTTAACAACTATACTGTAAAGTTTCCCAATATAAACATATAAACATAAAAAACATACATAGGCCTACTATACCTACAGATTAACCAATAAATAAGTTTGATAGCGATCAACTGAATACTATTTGAGTATCTGCACCCACAAGAATAGTTTACGACGACGACGACAATGGCCGACAGACCACTACTAAGACCTTCCCTTCACTTCATCACTTCAAAACTGCATGAATTGTATACAAAAATGTACTTGAGCATTCAAATATTACCTATTTTTACCATGCTATTGCTAATCTAAAATTATATAAGATTTCAATAAGACAGGAGTAGAGAATAGAACATTTTTTCAAGAGCAAGTTTAATCCAGCCACATAAATCTGGGTTCAAGTAATGCTCTGGAGAGAGCCCTGAGAAAAACCAAGACAATTCTACAGAGACATGTTAGATTTTCTTACCCTGCCCCTCTCAACATTTGTTGTTAACATAACAACTAATGAGCACTGTTCCTGCCATATCATCCTCCAGAAATCGTCACATGTCGTAGGTAAAGGTCCCTGTGCTGCTATGTACCTATTAAGAATGCCTGATTTATGAATTTCCATCTGAAGTAAACAAGCCACAAGAAATTGACATTAGCAATAAGAAGCATACATTCTGTGTTGTTGATGACTCCATCCTGAATCATGAATAATTTATTCGTACAAAATGAAAACTTACATTTACAATATTGGCATTTATGTAATCCCCGGCGTCTCCTTGTAAAAGAACTCGTGTTGAGTCGTCTGGAAAATAAAAATACGATACAAACAAGTCAGCATCACTTGCAGATATATTTGCAATTACGCATAATATTATAAATCACATTTAAGTTGTTAAAGTTTACTTTATATTGTAGCGAGACAGTGTTAAATATGTGTCCTTTGTTACGCATACAACAAGTGTAAAAATGTGCACACCGCAAGAATGACTGATACTTTAAACATATTGAATAAACTGGAGTACAAAGCAGTACGAGTATCGTATTTCAGGACCACAACTTTTCAGATTTAAAAACAAATAAATAAAGTGCTAATATTTACTTACAAGGAGACACATCTCTATATCGATTTTTTCCAATATTTTCCGGTTTCCGACACGCATGCATCGTCATGCCAGGCTTTTTCCTAAATAATTGCTGTGAAGAAAAGAACCAAAGTCACCATGATGAGTAAGAGTAACTGACCACTTGATGGCGCTCTTCATATTCAAGTCAACTATTAGCCATTAAAATAAATATCAGAATGTGACAATCTCAATACATACATTGGTAAAGCAAAAATAATATTGCTCCCTAATCAAAACTATCCCGTGAAGTGGTGGCATTCATCTGTTTCCACTAACATGCAAATGAAAGAGGTTGTAAGACCGAAAATATCATGTTTTTTTTAGTAAAAATGTTCAATTAGTTTTGTTCTACGCAATACAGGATTCTATTTTTGTCTAAAAGAAATATTTAGAAAACAGGGTGCTAACGACAACGACAATGTCCCATTTGAGCAAAACAGCTTGTGGAGGACAAACTAAATTCCCGCTTACCCATCAAAAATACATTATAAAATTTTACAACCATCAATTGGACTTATACATGTATTATTTATTTACTTTAACTGATTTGTTATGAAAGTTATTTTTTTTTTTAAAAACTTTAACCTTTGACAGCGTTAGAACTAAATAATATTTACATCAAACTGTGCTAAAGCTGCTCCACTACAAAGACATTCTTTTAATAAGAGTATGGACTCCCTGAGTAGATCCGATTCAGGCACTCTATCAGTTATAGTTGGTGTATCTGGGATATACTGGAATGCGGGCTCCTCCTCTTCATCACCGACATAAACTAACAACAAAACACAAGATAGGGAGTCAAACATGTCACCAAGCAATCCAACCCCTTAACTCTTTCACAAGCAGACAAATTTTCTTGCACTTTTCAATATTTTTTAATATTTCTGAAAATGAATCCTAATTTGGGAACCAAAAGACAAAATTTGAGTCAATTTTCAGTTTTTACTCTGATAATTTGGCTATTGTTGTCCCAATCTTCTGAAGGACAGTGCAGAATATAAACAGGACAATTTAATGAATTTGTGATGAAAAGTAGGAACTGGTGGTGAAATAGTTAAGGTGGTTGTCGCTAGAGGGTCTTGCACATCTTGGAGTAGAGCAAGTCGAACACCCAAGTAAGAACTACTGGATGTTGTTCAACCTTCTTCTGAGGAAAGACTTTATATTTATAGCACACAAACAAAGCTGAATCCGACAATATATTTACTAAGTCAAGACTTACCATTTGGTCTAACCGTAAGCACCAATTCGCCTGTCATAGCTTCTCTCATGGATCGAATGTAATTGACGACTTGTTCATGTGTAAATTGAGAAATATCACGACCATTTAATAGTAGCACCTGATCTCCTTCATTTAACCTCGGTATGCATAAATCTGCCTGATAACACATAAATAAAACATTCTTACAAATTAATTTCTTCTGGAATACATAATTAAAGACATATACATTGTAAAATCAGTTCTTATTCTAGTATTTATGAATACATACTGGTGTATTAGGAGCAACTCTAGAAACAATAACTGGCATCTTTTGATCCGCGCCGCCTTTCACGTTGAAACCAAACCGACCATGCTCATCTGGTTTCATTCGTATTAGAACAAGGTTGTCTGTCGGTGACGATACACCATTTGGCTGATTAAAAAAAATATAGGAAAACTAAATTACTAAAGTACATGCAAATATTGATTTTGATTAATGTCACAATCTCAAACACCATTTTTGACAGTTTAGCACTGTATATGTAAAACCACAGATTTTTCAAAATTGAAAAAAACTTTTTATATTGCAACTTGGTCACCTTCTAAAATAATTCACAAGAATTGAATTCTGCTAGATTCTGTTGACAGTGTTTTTTTTGGTCCAACAGAAAAAGACAAAAACATATGTAAATGTTTCACACCTGTAATTAAAGCTGTATCCTTACGCGTTTAAAAATTTCGGACCAAATTTGCTTTGCTAAATTTATTTCTGAGAGAGCAATGACTTATATTTTTTCTTTGTGGTCCAAAATAAATAGAGGGAATAACCAAAGTTAAAATTTTCGAAGCAACAATGAGTTGTAACATGATAGTTTTTTTAGGCCTAGTGTTTTTGGATTCACTTGTTTTGGGTAAAATTGACATCTCTGATCGTCATTCTGTTGGGTCACTAAAATGCTAAAATCTCTCAAAAAACCAGTTTCATTTTTAGCATTTATTTCTTGCAATTTAAATGCTCTTCAATGGGAGGTATTAATCTTTTCACCACACTTTCCCTCTTTCATCACAAATTCACAAAATAGACCTGCTTGTATAGTCTGCACTCTCTTTCAGAAGAATGAGACAAAAATAGCCAAATTCTTTAAGTAAAAACTGAAAATTGTCTCAAATTTTGTCTGTTGGCTCCAAAACTTGGGTTCATTTCCAGAAATATTGAAGAATATAAGGAAAAAGTAAAGAAAGATTTGGGCGAGAAAGTCTGGTGGTGAAAAGGTTCATACAGAAATGTGACCTTAGGCATTGCATCAACATTATGGCAGGAAAACTGATGACATTTAAGGGATTAAAAATTCACACATTCAACTTACAAGGGTATCATATGCTGGTAATTCATACGACTTTTCGGTAAAACTATAACTGCTGCCACCTTCATCCATGTATAAAATTTTGGCAGGGACGGCCGGTGTAAATACTTCATCACCATTTTTAGGAAACCCATTCTCCCTGCAATGCAAAACACATCTGAATCAAATGTCTGTGTGTCCCCAAGTTTTGAATAGGCGTCACAAATCTGCCTTTATTCAAAGTAGTTTCTAAGTTTAACAAGATTCGCACATCAAATCATCAGTCAATTTCAGTTATCAAGCTCAAAACCAAAGTACCGTATTTGCTTTTTTAGAAGCATATCTCCAATGAAGTGCACATAAAACCAAAATTGCATTTGTATTCTGGATCTTATTTTAATAATATGTACGTCATTTATCGAGCGCATACATTACAAATAGAGCAAATAAAGTAGTATGGTTAAGAATTGACAATGAAACTTTGAAATGAACGCTTATAAAATTGCTTTTCACAAAATATCAAATTTTTAAAAAACAGACCCCATCAGAAATTAACTTTTGTACACAGGCTGAATTGTGACATTTTACAGCATATTCGGAACACACTTGATGCTGGGAAATAATTATTCAAGTACTAGAAAGACGAAGACATTTACTGGAGCTAGCATTTTCAATGAATTCTCATGAATTCTAGAATTCAACCAAAAGTAATCAATTTGAAAATGAAACAAGCAGCCTGTCGGCTGAGATAGCTCCGCTGTTAGCAATGCACATGGCAATTAAAGAACAGAAGATATCATTAGAAAATGAACAAATCTGAGAGAGGTCCACATGTAGTACCTATATGTATAATATATCAAAGCAATCAGACTTGCGGTTTTCAACAAGAAGTCGAAAATATCACTTTTTACCAAAAATTACAAAAATATTCATCAAAATTAGAGAATTAAAGATATCATTATGAAATGAACAAATCTGAGAGAGGTCCACATGTAGTACCTATATATGTAATATCAAAGCAATTGGACTTGCGGTTTTCAACAAGAAGTCGAAAATATCACTTTTTACCAAAAATTACAAAAATATTCACCGAAATTAGAGAATTAAAGATATCATTACAAAATGAACAAATCTGAGAGAGGGTCACATGTAGTACCTATATATGTAATATCAAAGCAA